TCAGCCCTGGGAATGGCCTGGCTGATAAGAGCACTTACACAGTCACACCAGACCGTGACCAGGTGGCTGCTGGTGGGCACTTCGCATCACACAGAGTCAGTTGACCTCAGGAGGGGCTGTCCCTTTGTCCCACCTCCAGCAAAAACCTGGGCACCAAGGCTTAGGGTGGAATCCCTGTTTGGCAGGACACCGTGTGTATTGCCACCCACTGTTCCTGGAAGAATTAGGTGCTGGCCATCAACGCTGGGAGGGGACAGAGGGAAGCTAGCACCGATCTCTCCCGGACCCTGCCCCATGCACTGTACCCTTGGCTGATCCTCTCTCTCTCTGTATATATATTTCCCCCCAGTGGGGCTGGGGATGGGACCCAGAGCCTTGAGCCTGTTAGGCAAGTGCTCTACCACTGAGCCACACACACGCAACAAAATCCATATATTTAAAAAGTTTCAGTTGACACCTAATAATTATAAATTCTTCTGAGTACAGCATATTTCAACACATGCATACCATGTGCAAAGAGCAGATCAGAGTGATTGGCATACCCCCCACCTCACGTCGATCATATCTTTGTGTCGGGAACATTCAAAATCAGCTATTTTGAAATATGCAATTAGTTGTTATCAGCCATAGTCACCCCACTGCGCTATAGAACGTTAGAAATTATTTCCCCTATCCAGTGTGCACCTGTGATCCCAGCAGCCAGGGAGGCTGAGGCAGGAGGATCGCGAGTTCAAAGCCAGCCTCAGCAATTTAGGGAGGCGCTAAGCAACTCAGTGAGATGCTGTTTATAAATAAAACATAAAAGGGCTGGGGATGGGGCTCAGTGGTTAATCACCCCTGGGTTCAATCCATGGTACAAAAAAAAAAAAAAATGAAGAAGAAGAAGAAGAGATGAAGTCCGCTCTCCAGCTGTAGGCCTGGCCACTACCCTCCTCCCTCTACCTTCTCCAGTGGCTGGTTCTGGTCTGTCCACTTTGATCAACCCTAACCATCACCTACGGTGGCTTTTCTGAAATTATAAATTCTTCCATCAAATCATAGACCCTGAAGGTCTTGGGGCTCCTGAATGACAGCGATCCTGGGTGAACCAGGCAGGAGGGGACAGCCAGAGCAGGCACAGAGGCAGCACAGAGCGGGCCCTGGTCGGGGGAGGAGGTGCCACCCGGAGCCCGCTGCCCCTGCGGCCCTGCTCCACGGGGCTGCCATCTGGAGGCTGGCCCTTAACTTGTCCTCCCTCCACGAAGGCCCCGGGGCGAGCGCCCTGAGGGGTCCTGGCCCTGCCGCAGACAGTGGCCGCTGCCCGGGAAAGGCAGCCCCTCGGCTTCCCCAGGAGGCGCCCCAGCCCCGCAGCCCGGGCCGCAGGGGCCAAGGTGTAGGTCTGTTCTCCTCATCTTTCCCGGTGGTCTGCGACTTTGCCGAGGTGGGTGGACACAGTAAATGGCCAGGGTGGCCTCGGCAATGTCCCGTCTGGGGGGGAATTTCCCGGTGGCCCCTCCAGTTCCCTTGCACACCTGGGCCCAGGCTCAGCTGACACGGAGGCCCCAGGGGACCCAGGTGTTGGAGAGACTGGCTGGTCCCTGGGTCCCAAAACCCAGCACCAGGAAACGGCCGTTGCTGTGGTGACCACGGAGCGCTCAGGGCGGGGACCGGGAAGGCTGCGGGGTGTGGAGGAGGCGGCACCCAGGGGCCTCAGTTGGGAGGCCACTGGCCAGAGCAGGCGGGCAGCAGCCACCCTCCTGGGCGCCGAGGGGACATGGAGGGTGACACAGCTGGACCCCCTGATGGCTTTGCCATCTGGCCTCCCAGGAGGGTCACCTGGCCACTGGCGTGAGGTTCCTGGGCCTTAGACCCCTTCCCAGGAAGGGAGCGTCCAGGTGGGTGGGCAGCATGAGCTTGGAGCCCCTCAGCCCAGGCACCCGCCGGCGGCTTCTCCACGGGCAGCCAGGTCCCCTCCCGGAGCCCCCCCCCAGCAGCGTGGCCATCTTCATCAGCTCCGCCGTCTCAGGTAAGGTGCAGGCAGGACGGAGGGCCCCGGGCAGGCGGGCAGTCTTGGGGGTGCCAGGGTAATAATGGACATGGTTCACAGGGTCCTCCAAGAGACCTTCATGTGAAGGCAGCTCAGCTAGTGACCCACCTGGGAACCAGTGAGCGGGAGCCTCCTGGACCCTCTGTTTCCTCCTCAACGAGCTGGGCTGGGAGCCGGCTGAACAGAGTTGTTGTGAGTGGCATGTGACATTGCAACTAGTATCTCTAAGACATGGGCATATACTGGGCTTAAAAAGTGCCAGATTCTTGCCACAGCTACACGATCCTGCGGGTCAGGACCCTGTCCACCTCCCTAACTGTCTCATACGATCTTCAATTCGTCCGAGCGTCGCAGCCACACTCATGTCTGGCAGGAACCACGAAGCCCTGAGCCTCGGGTCAAGACCCTCACCCCGAGTTGCCCTCCCTTGGCCTTCCCGTCCGTGGGTTTCGGCATAAACACCTCCTCTTCAGGGAGCCCCTCTGCCCCTGTGGAGAGTCAGTGGGTCGACCCTGTTCTCAGCAAGCCCACCGTGGCTTCTCAGGCAGCACTTCTCATAAATCGCCATCATGGGTTTGTGTCCCCTGCCGCCAGGCCGTGAGCTTCACAAGAGCCACAACCACGTAGAGCCATGTCCTGGCGAACGGTTCATGATCGTTCTCCAAAAGAGAAAGCAAACCCACAAACGCCACCCACAGCCAGACACCCGTCCAGGTTGGCTGCCAATTTCTGTGCCGTAAATGTTCCCCCTACAGCTCCGAGCTGCCGATCGAATTTACCAAACCACGCAGCAGCACACCAAGGTCTGCCATTTCCATTATCCCAAGTTCGTATTTTTAAACAGCTCCAAGTGCAAAGCTCATGGTAAATGGAGTCGGATAGGGGCTGGGGTGGTGGCTCAGTGGCAGAGCGCTCGCCTCGCTCGTGCGAGACCCTGGGTTCGATCCTCAGCACCACATACGAAAAAACAAACAAGTGAAATAAAGGTGTTGTGTCCAACTACAACTAAAAAAATAAATTTAAAAGAAATGGAGTCGAATAATTTGGAGGTGATGAGTTTTGCGCACTTCGCAATCTTGTCTTTTAGTGTGCTGTCTTCCAGTGTAAGTTCAGTTTTTTTTTTTAATTTTTAAAACAATCTGATTTTATGTTAATATGACTATGAACAACCAGCTGACATTTTTTAGTTAGTAGCTCTCTCTCTCTCTCTCTCCCTCTCTCTCTGCAGTGTTGGGGATTGAACCCAGGTTTTCTCACATGCTAGGCAAGCACTCTGTCGCTAAACGACATCCCCAGCTCTTTTATTTTATTTATTTATTTGGGGGTACCAGGGATTGGACTCAGGGCCACTTGACCACTGAGCCCCATCTCAGCCCTATTTTGTATTTTATTAGAGACAGGGTCTCACTGAGTTGCTTAGGGCCTCACTAAGTTGCTGAGGCTGGCTTTGAACTCGCGATCCTCCTGCCTCAGCCTCTGAGTCGCTGGGATGCCAGGCCTGAGACCCTACACAGGTTAATCACATATCTCTCCCTGGCTATTGTGCCATTGACGCTTACCAAGGGTCTGGGCGCAACGTAACTGTCTGACAAATATTTTATGGACACATTTAAATAGCCTGAGGGACGGTAAGGCAGGCCGTGACCATACTACATTGCAAGATGGGGATGATGATGAGGTGGGAAGGAGGCATATCCCAGACTGGACACCAGGGTCAGCCACCATGCTAAGGCCCCTTAAGACAGATTTATTTTATTTTATTTTATTTGCATCAGTAGTTTTGAGAAACTCCTCTCATGGATACCAGAGTGACAATCCCTTAGCCACACAGAAAACAAAGATTTCTTCACTCAGAGCTACTTGGGAGATTGAGTGATTCAGCTGCACTTCCTGGGTTGGGGGCTGAGACTTCAGCAATGTCCAAGGCAAGTCCTTGACTTTGGGGAGCCTGCAGCCCTGCAAAGAGAGGCACCACCCCCATTTCATGGAAAGGGAAACTGAGGATAGCTTGACACTTGGCACAAGACTACACGGTGCAGTCACTGGTGGGGACGGTCCTGGCGTCTAAGCTTACACTGGCTGCCAGATTTAGAAAAACAAAACACAACAGTCCACACCACCAGGATGTCCAGTTCAATTTGCGAGTCAGATAGATCACCAATATCCATTAGCATAAGTAGATCCCAAATACTGCATGCAATGGGACATACTCATGCTAACGAGGTATTCCATAGCTTATGTAGAATGCAAATTCAGCCAGGCATCCTGTGTTTTACCTGGCCACCCTCATCTAGGGTGGGTGACCCATCGTCTTGGTTGGCCCAGGACAGAGGGGTTTCTTGGGATATGGGATTTAAATAGTCTGTCCTGGGAAAGTCCCAGACCACCAGAATGGCCGGCCTCCCCTGGGTTTGCTTATTTATTTATGATTGTAAATAAATAAGCAAACCCATAATGAATAATGAAATACCTTTATTTTATTCATTTATTTTTATGTGGTGCCGAGGATGGAACCCAGTGCCTCGCTCGTGCCAGGCAAGTGCTCTGCGCTGAGCCCCAGCCCAGCCCCTTCCTTGAGTTTACTTGATGGTTTCTGAATCTTTGATTTGCTCCAAGTGGCTCTGGCCTTGGTGGGGACACATGAGGCGATAAGCAGAGCTTTTTTTGGGGGGGGGGGGGTTCTGGTTGCTTCGTGCTCACAGCCTCCCGGCGTTCCTTGCAGATATGGATGCAGAGAGGGAGGCCCTGCAGTCTGCCGCCTGCCCACAAGTGCAGACCTTCTGCCAAAAGCACGGCCTGACATTCGAGGTAAGGGCTGCCTTGAGCCATCGGGAAGCCACAGGGAACCCTTAGCCGGAAGGGCTCCGGGCCGGCTGAACGCCTTCCTTGTTGGGTCTTGAAATTCACAGTGATTTTAAAACAGCAGATCTGCTGTGCTTTTGCGCGGGGCCCTGCAAACCCTCCTGCGAGGTGGCTGTGCAGAAAAGGTCCTGGGATAGTGACAAGCACACAGGGGCGTTAGGGCCCTGGGCCTGGGGCTGACCCTGCGGGGGGCACGGCACCAGGCTAGGAGAGATTGCTTTGGAGCCCGGGCCCACCACTGCCTCCCTGGAGGTGTGACCTTGAGCATGTCATTGAAGTGTCAGCTTTGGTCCTGCTCTGGGGGCCTCCGTGTCCGGGGCAGCTTCGGGAGGAGGTCAAGACTGTCGCGTGGTTTTGGGGGTGAGGATGGCGGTGGGTTGTTCTTCTTCCTGGAGGGCTGATGTTTTGCTCCCTGGGCACAGTCCCCACGGTCCCCACACAGGGTCTTCTATGACTCTTGGGCCAATCCCAGTCTGGGGATTCGGCTTCTTGAACTTCATGATGCAGACACTCAGGAACCGTGTCTGGAGTCTCAGCTGGACTGAGGCTGCCTCCTTGGATGTACGGCAGCTGGATTCACGGCATCAAAGTCCCGTTGGATTAAAAGACGAAGCACCGTTTGTAGAGTGCTAAGAAAGAAGTCGTGCCGGGAATCTCGCTCTGTCATTGATGGCACGAGAGAGTTCAATGTCAGAGGCACTAACAGGAAAACAGGCAGACAGCAAACTGCTCAGGCCCCTGTGGTTGTCTGGTGCCCACACCGGAGCTCAGTGCTGGACCTTGTGAGTGTCCTCAAGGCAGTCAGGAGACAGGGGTCCCAGGCAAAAGCCCTTCCTAAGGCCGGTCCTGACTCTTTTCCCTTCTCTGCACCCACGCCTGAGGATCCTGCCCCGTTTCGCTCCGGCCACCTTCAGTCCCATTGCTATTGACCCCTGGCTGCAGTTGGTTATGAGTCTGCGTTCCTTTCTCTCTGAGCTAAAGAGGTTAGGAAGAAGAGGCCTGTCCCGAGTCCCTCTTCTCCCCTCAT